ACGCACCCCTTTGAAAAATCCTGGCTACGACCTATTGTGATTAAATTCACCTTCATATTCTGTTATCTTCTCGTAAAGTTTGATCCTAATCGTGTAGCTGATGGGTGTTTCATTTTTGACAGGCAACATAAACACTAAGCTGCTGGCGTACGAAGGAAGCTGTTTATTTCTACAATCAGTGTTGGTTGCGAGCATCCAAGCGTAAGGCTCCACCTCCGGCACAATTTTGAACCTTCTATCTCTCTGTATATGGACAGCGCACAAAAAACCAGCGACATAAATGAACAAGAGGAAAAAAGTTAATTCAGAATAAATAATTGCATAAACAACAAAAACAAGATTATTATTTGGAATCACTTTGAACTCTTATCAAAACTAGCCAACAAAATACTTCATTAAATTTTTCATTCAACTACAATTTTGATTATTTATTTTAATCTAGAAATCAAAGTTAAAAAGTTGTAAAATATGTTTTATCCTTTAAATTCATGTAGGGCCTTTAAAGATGCCTTGTTTTTCCTGGTGCAGCTACACGGTTTCACGTGTTTTTTTTCGGTTTTTGTTTTGTTTTTCTTATCTTGCCTTGGTACGTTCACCTTTTCCCCAAAAAGGTCAATAACTTAAAAAAATATTTTTGACGTAGCTACTTACAGTGAGGTATATATCCTTAAAGTCTGGAGAGGCAAGGCAGTCCCAAATTTCTCCAGTATCTTTGTCTTTCACCGCAACAATAAACTGCAATACCAGAGCGGGACGGGGGACCCGGATTATGCACGGGTGTAGTTTTTTTCTCCTTGACTGACCAAAATATATATCGTCTGATAGCTGTCGGCATTTCTGAAGAATTTCTAGTCGAGCTCCATTTGGCCGGAAAGTACTCGTGGTTGGGTGTACATGTGTTGCTTTGTGGAACAGAGAATAAATGTACACGGTCTTAGCTTATTACATTTAAACGCAGTTGAGTATCGTGATACCAGTAAAAGGGAAAGTTGACGTTTTGGAGTAAAATTATTATAGTCAGTCGGAATGGTCAGTACAAAACGTGGACTCCAGACCATACATTTCGGGCTTCGAACTGGGAAAAACCACGGACCACATCTTGCAGGCCTTGTTAAATGGATTGCTTCTCGCGAACTAGGTTAAAAAACGAAGACCACAAATGACTAGCTCTCGGAGGGCAGTCGGAGTTTTCTCCTTTACAGCTGTTGTTGTCCTCGTCACGAAACACGCTCATACTTTATCGACTTTTCATCACAAAGCTTTTTCAAGTTAGATTTCCTCAGAGAACTTAGGTTTTCATTTTAAAAAAATTATAGGCTGTAAGAAGAGCATAATTATCTGTTGAAAGTACGGAATTTGATCATTCCCATTATACCCTAATAGTATTGTTCAGTTGGCAAAGGTCTGAAATGAATGGCTAAAGGAACAAAAGTGGATTTTATTCCCTGTTCGTTATTATCCACACGGTCCGTAAGGTCCGATCCTTTTTCACCCATTCCAGATTTTATTGATACCCAGTCCTTTATAGTTCATTCACAGTTCCCAGCAACGGTCATGATTTTCACTATGCCTTAAATCGACTGAATCTAAACGCATTTCATGATTTTCTAGCTTGCAAAAGGGGTATTTTAATGGACAAACAGCCTACGTTTCCTGGCTAACAAGAAAAACCAGTGATTTATCGGCCAGAAAATCTCTTCTCCATCAAATTTGAATACAAGCAACCAATAAAAACAATTAATTCCGTCTGATATTATGTGTGAATAAGAATTAATCTCGGTTTGAGATGTCCATGATTAAGCCCCGCAGATATTGACTGGCAGCATAATACCGCAAACCCCACAGTGAAAGTTCCACACAAAAGCTTAGAGTTGAACGACGTTCCCGTGCATTGACGTACGAATCGATGTTTCGATGGGTTAGAATGATAATCATCAAGGAACGGTCGAGTGCCTCCTAATTCTATACATGATTCAAAATACACTGTGAGATGGGATTTTTCAGCCACCAGCTTTTTTGAATTTTCATTCACATGTGTTTCAAAAACAGCATTATTTTGATAATGGCACATTCACGCATGTTTCGATATTTACATTTGCTGCGGCTGTTTAGATGTGGCAAAAAAAAAACAAAAAAACTTACCATCGATCGACTCTCGAACACCGATATCACAACGGTTCGCAGCGTTCATGTCAATTTTTGAAGGCCTTTGGTCTTTTCAATAGAAATCTAAACTCTAAGGAAATTTTGTAGCGAGTTCATGTTCGTCGAGGTCAACAAAGAAAGCGCTCGACCTTGAAAAAAAACTTCGTGAGGCAGAAAATGAAAATTAAGGAAAGGGACTTTCCCTAGCCTGCCTTGAACTGATTATTCATTCAATTTGTTTATATTTCTTGTAAATGAGCTGTTTTAACCGCATACCGAAGTATTCGACTTATCCATCTTCCTGAAACGTTATTGTCAGCAATAGCGATTTGAAAAAAAAATATCGCGGAGTGATAAGCAACTTTTATTGCAAATTTCTTACCTAAGTTGTAGATAAACAAAAACTGAGAAACTGAAAGTGTCGACTTAAGCAAAACGTCAATTTGAGCTGTATCTGTGTCTGAGAATGGCAAAAATATAACCTGCTCAGTTCTCAGAAGATAAGATAGACTGGAAAATATTATTTTGAAGAAAAATGTGGAGAAGGTCAATTCCAATTTTTTAATCACATTGAAAAATTCCCCGCACTCGAAATAAACGGAACTCAAGAATAATTCTATAACCTTCTTTCTTTCAGATGAAAGCTACCCTTGATTTTTTTATTTATTTTTTTTATTTTTTTTTTAATTTTATTTATTTTTTTTTTCATGAACTGAGGAGTTTGGGAGGAATTATATCCTATTATTAGTCATTGGAAGTCTATTTCTTTGTTTACGGTTGCTCAAAGTAGCTCAAAGAATGCGAGAGCATTATCAAAATTTTACAAAAGCAGAGCAGGGGCAAACACGAATGACATCGTCGCCAAGCATAAGCTTATCATCGCAAAGCGCGTGCATACGTAATTATTTGGTTTCACGATCGCTCGCTCTGATATTCAAGTTCTGAAGTTGTAACGGTACGCATTTTTCTAGCCGTGAAGTCAAGTAAACAACGATCTAAGAATGATGAATTCTACTGCATAGGTTTCGTTCACGTAAATTACGTTTTCCACTTCTAACAGCGAATCAAGAACTGTTTTGAATAAATTCCAAAATATCTTTCTGGTCATTTTCGTCTTGCTTTTATTTTCAGATTCCATGTAACATGAGATGTCTTCACACA